TCGCCGCCTCCTTCCGGGCTCCAGGCGCCCGCACCCCCTCCCCTCCTTTCCCGGGGCAGCGCCCTGGGTGTCCTCCCCGCGCGCCGCCCTGAGGGCCTGGGTTCCCCTTTCCACTCCCCTAGCCCCCCTCACATCCCTGCGGGCCCCCGGCTCCCTGCTGTCCCTCTAGGCTTGGGGCGCCCCCTCTCCTTTCTCAGTGCCCCGGGGAACACCTCCGCCGCGGGGCTGCCTCTTCCTCGCTCTCCGAGCGTCTTGATCTCTTCTCTCTCCCCCTCTCCCCCTCTCCCCCCGAGGGTGCCCGGGCATCTAGCGGGAGATCTCCCGCCGGCCCTCCGCCCCCCCTTCCCACCCCCCACCCCCGACGGAAACGCTCCCCCCATCCCGCCGCCGGGGGGTCGCAGCCTCCTCTCTCCTGCCTTCCGAGGGGAGGTGGGGGTTACCGCCGAGCTCCCACCTCCCCCTGGCCCCCCAAGGCGGAAGGCTCTCGGGCACCCGCGGTGGCTGGGAGGGCGCACCTGGGCCGGAGGGGCGGGGGGAGGGGTGGCAGTGGGGTAACGAGTGGTGGCTGGGTCCTTTGGGCCGCCTGACTTGCCTCCTTCTGCCTTTGCAGGGGCTTCGGGAAGCAAGGATTTCAGTGCCAAGGTAGGCCGTGGGGCTCTGGAGGTGCCGTTTGTGGGCAGAGGCGATGGAGGGACTTTCTAGAAGTGACCGAGTTTGGCAGAGAGGGAGGGAATCAGGTCCGTCAGAGAGACCTCCCAAGCCAGGAATTCATCACGGGCTGAAGGGTCCTTTTAAGGGGTGTGTGTGTGTGTGTGGGGCGGTGATGCTCCATCCAGGAAGGGCCAGGGCAACTGGCAGGCCCCCCTTGCCAAGGACGTGTGCCCCCCTTCCTCCCTTCCCAGCACGGAGGAGCCCAGGCGGGTCTCCTGAACCCAGCTGGCCTGGTTAGCCCCACTTCTGGAGGAAGTGCATCCTGGGCGTTTGGGGGAGGACCCCTCCCCGCTAATTCCTGCCTGCTTGTCCTCATCTCCCGGGGGTGAGCTTCTGCCTCTTTCCTTGCGTCATAGAGGTCTCTGCAGGTGGCTGCTGCCTCTGCAGATGGTGCATCCTCTAGAACGGTGACTGTGGTTGTCCCCTGGGCCTCTTTCCTCGCAAAGGAGATGGGGTTGAGACCCCGGTTTACAATGCCCTTTCTGCTTTCTGGCCAGATACGGGAAGGGCTCCAAGTGACTAGATACCTGGGTCTTGGCATCGGGTTTGAGATCCTTGACCCTAGCCGGAGAGGCCCAGCCCCTACCAGGTGAGCTGTGAGGTGGCCTCGGTCTCATGTAAGGTGGCCTCAGCGGTCTCTAGGTGCAAATTCACGCTCCAGGGCCAAGTCCCCTGGAGACCCCAGGGTGTCAACATGTTTTGAATTCGATGCCAACGTTTTAGAGCTGGGAGATTTCACACGCGTGGTCCCGTCGAGCTGAGAGCAGCTGTCCGTACAGCTCGGTGCACGTTTGCCGTTTCGTCTCTGAGGGTCCCAGCCAGGCCCTCTTCACCCTTTCTGGTCCCTGTGGGCATCTGAGTTTGCAACGTCTGGTCAGCAGAGTTTTTTTTTTCCTCCCCCAATTTTAGGCTGGCTGTGGTTGAGTTTGGTGAGGAGTGTCACATTTCTGTGGCGTGTCTTACGGGCAAATTGAGCTGCCCCCGGTGAGCTGGGTTTAGATCAGGGCAAGAAAGCCTTTGGCCGTTGAAGAACCCCGGAGCGCCCCCACCCTCCAGGGATAAGTGAGTGATCCCTGTGAGCGCGAGCGGCATCGTCAGTTGCATGGCCCCGCTGTCTTCTGAGACCCCTGAGCTCAGCCCGGGACTCTCCTAGACCTGCCCAGCCTCCCCTACAAAATGGGGATCCCCGGTTTCACGCACTGTGCTGGAGGACTCCCCCAAAACCCCGCGGCTGAGGTCCTGGTACAAAGAGTTGGGTTGGTTTCTGGCACTTTGTCTGACCTCCGAGCGAAGTACCCATGGCACCTTGGCGCCGGAATTCCCGGAAGGGCTTCGAGGTCACCTTTTCGTGGCTGTGCATCCATCCCGTCTTCGCTTCGTGCTGAGGTCGGGGTGGTTTTCGAACATGTTCGCTGCTGCTCCCTTGTCCTACCTGCTCTGCGTTATCGATGGTTGGGAAAATCGCTTCAGAGTGTGCAGGTGTTGACGCACCTGAAGCAGGAGATCCCTTTTTTCAAAGCCTGGAAAAGGACGGGAATTTTCCAGTGTAGTAAGAGTTAAACAGAATTAAGATTCTCATGAAATACGGCCACTTTCGAGGAGGAGTGCCTATTTAAAAAAAATGTTTACCGCCTTTCTTTTTCTCCCTTCCTGGAGAGGCAGCATAGGGCAGTGGGCACGTGCGTCGCCTACCAGGCAGGTCGCTGCGGGTTTGAATCCCGGCCTTGCGAGTTCCCAGCCATGTTCCTTAGCTTCTCTGCACCTCCAGTTCCTCGTCTGTGAAATGGGTGCGACAATGGTGTCTACCTCAAAAAGTCGCTGAGCAGCTCAAAGTGGTTGCAGTACATAAGATGCTTGGACCAGAGCTTGGCACATAGTAAATGCTCAGAAAATATTGGCTCTTACGGTTGTCCCCAGACGACCCGTTAGTGGGGCAGCTGGTGTGAGAGCAGGCCAGCCCGGCAGGGTTGCTTTGCTCTGGGACCAGCTGCCAGGTGAGAGTCAGAATCCAGCTGTGAGCAGCTGGTCTCCCTGGGGTGCGACAGAGCAGGGGAGGGGCTGGGGCACCCCAAATTGAGATGCTCAGGATGGGGACATCCAGGGAGCGGGGGAAGGTTGTGCTCAGGTGCAGAAGAGTTTCTTATCTGAGTATTTCTGGCACCACGTCTTCCTTCTTAAAGCACATCTAATTAAAACGGGGTCAACGTTTTCTAGAAAATATGTAAGGTTTTATTCTCCGAAGTCAGGGGTCCAGAGCCCAGGATCCAAGGTTCTTTTCGGTCTTCTGCTCTGCCATCCCAGGAGAGCCAGCGGCCTCCCTCATGGCCTGAGAGGGGTGCTAGACCCTCCAGCCATCACATCCTTATTTCAGCCAGCAGGAAGGAAAGGGCAGAGAAAGGCACCGTCAGCAGCAGAAGTGGCCGCAAGATGCTTCTGTCCCCGTGCCCTTAGCTGGAACTTAATCGCATGCCTGCACGTCGCTGCAAGGGAGCACGTGAGAAATGTAGCTATGTTCCCAGCTACAAGCACGCGGCGTGCACCTGTGCGTGCGTGTGCGTGCGTGCGTCTGCGTGCGTGTGCGTGCTCCCTTTCAGAAGTGGAAGGAGATGAGAGGAAGTAGTTTCGGCTGTCCTCGGCGAGGAGGAGTGTAGGATGGTCACAAGGCGAGGAGACCACGGAGCCTCCGTGCTCCATCGTACTGTCACTGGAGTTGGCGACACTAGGATGAGGTGAGAGAGGACGCATGGCAAGTCCATAAACTGTGGGAAATTATGGATTTCTGTGTTCTCAGGGGAGCGAAGGGATAGATTTCCTTGCCTTGGTACTGTAGAGGACAAAAACCTCGATTGATTGTCACATAAAGTCTCCCTTTTTTGTTTCCATGCACTCGGCATGTTATAAAACCCGCTCTCTGTGAGGTAGTTTAAGGGCGTCTCGGGGGACAGGAGACTGGGACTCAGAATCCCCACTGCGAGACTGCCTGAGCTCCGGGTTGGAAGCGGAAGCCCCGCATGAGCAAGGCAGACTTCTCTCTGAGTTATCCTTTCATGGGATCCTGGAAGCCATGTTTGCGCTTTAATCATAATTAAAGCGGGGTGGGGGGATTAGACTCGGACCCCGAGAAGCTTCTGCAGTGCTTTGGGGAGGAATGCTTTTTTCTTTTTAAGGGAAGTCACCTCAGTCGAAGCAGGGAGGCATGAAAACATAGCTTTGGAATTCACGGCATGAGGCTGGAGTGACAGCGGACTGGGTTGAATCTCTGCTCCGCCACCCGTGACACTGTGTGGCTTCGGGCAAGTCATTGACCTGCAGTGGCCTCGATGCTCCCATCCGGGAAGTGGGGCCAGTCATACCTACCTTACGGGGTGATGGCGACAGTAATGGGGGCTGCAAGGGAAGTGTTCACGCTGAGTGCTGGTGATCGAGTGAGATGATCATTATTACTTGATTAGCCGCAGGAAACCGTGGGACAGTTCATTCTGGAACTCCCTAAATGAGTTTGCCTGTTTCGTGTATGTAGATGGCTGTTCTTCTCAGGACTGCGTCTTCGTCGACTTTGGGTGGCACCCGGGGGCACACGGCTCTGTCTGGCCCAGACACTGAGGCCTGTTTGGAGGAGCTTCTCGCCCCTGTCCCTGTGGGAAAGACCTACAGTTGCCATGGGCTCTCTAGAAAAACCCCAGTCCTGTCAGCTTCTGACGTCCGGACCAGCAGCGATGACTGCATGAGTAAACCGGCTCCCCGCTTTCCCGCGTAGATCACGAAACATGTTTCGAAGGCTTCTAACGGGAATTACTCTTTAAAAAACCCCCGACGGACCCGAGCATCGCTGTTTTCGTGAACATCAGCTGTCTGGAGCACAGGCTCCTCCTTGGTCTGTAGTTAGCACACACATTTCAATGTGCACTTAGAAAAAACCCGTCAAAGACAAATCAAAGGTTAATTTTATTTCGGCATCATTTTTCCTATGGAATAAAACTTATGATATCTTGCACGTCAGGTTGACCTTTCTCAGTAAAATCACAAAGAGAGCCTGTGCGTGAGTGTGTGTGTGTGAGTGCAAGTGTGTGAGCATGTGTGTGCACATGTGAGTGTTTGTGTGAGTGTGTGCATGTGAGTGTATGTGTGTGTGTGAGCATGTGTGAATGTGTGTGAGTATGTGCATGTGAGTGTGTGAGCATGTGTGAGTGCAGGTTCGTGTGAGCGTGTGTGAGTGCAGGCTTGTATGAGCATGAGTGTGTGAGCATGCATGTGCACATGTGAGAGTGTGTTTGTGTGAATATGTATTGTATGAGCATGAGTGTGTGAGCATGCATGTGCACGTGTGAGAGTGCGTTTGTGTGAATATGTACATGTGAGTATATGTGTGTGAGCATGTGTGAATGTGTGTGCATGTGAGTGAGCATGTGTGAATGTGTGTGCATGTGAGTGTATGTGTGTGAGCATGTGTGAATGTGTGTGAGTGTGCATGTGAGTGTGTGAGCGTGTGTGAGTGTGGGTTCATGTGAGTGTGTGAGCATGTGTGTGCACGCGTGAGAGTGTGTGTGAGTGTGCATGTGAGTGTATGTGTGTGTGAGCATGTGTGAATGTGTGTGTGGTGTGTGCATGCGAGTGTGTGAGCATGTGTGAGTGTGGGTTCGTGTGAGCGTGTGTGTGAGTGCAGGTTTGTGTTAGTGTATGTGAGCATGTGTGTGCACGTGTGATAACGTGTGTGCATGTGTATGTGTGCGAGTGTGAGCATGTGTGAATGTGTGTGAATGTGTGTGAGTGTGTGCGTGTGAGTGTGTGGGCGTGTGGGAGTGCAGGTTCGTGTGAGCGCGTGTGCGTGCGTTGCACACAGTCCCCAATCGGGCTGCGTTCCTGGAGACCGCTTCGATTATCCTCCTCTCCGTTGGGGAAGCGGGTCCCAGTGGGCTGGGAGCGAGAGCTCG